TCATGCAATACCCTTTGCCTCTTCATCGTTAGGACCACAGACCAAAAAAAATGGGAAAAAAGAGAGACAGCCAATCAATACAGTGACAAGTCAATCTCTTACGTTTTCTGATGCGAGAGTTCTTAGATTTAAAATTTCGACATTTTCCCGTTGTTGTTGGAATAAAATATAAAAGCGTCTAGAATTATCATCCTGATTTTGTTTTGATCATATCTTGCTCTTAAGTATTATAAAAATACGGTAATGATGAGCTTTTGCCATGTCATAAGTCTTCATTGTTAACGAGATGATATCTCAACAAATAATATCCCGTCCTTTATCTCAAGTTGAAGAAAATTACCAAGTGATTGCAGAAGAAAATTACAACCGATGTAAAAACAATTTACATTATCAGTGAATTTTAAGTAATAATATGATACGAGATTAATTATTATTTTTATCAGATTATTAATTAATTATTATTATAAAAGTTTAATTGTAATTAACCTTTATACTAATTGTATTGTTAATGCATAAAATTCGAACCATTTAAAAAAATGAAGAAATGAGAAATCTATGGCAAGGTTGTAAGATAGGGACACGTACGCGGTGTGCATAAAGGGATTGTACAATTTTCACAAGAAGTCGGGCGCCTACTATGGTGACGGTATATATTTTTAGTCATGGAAAGGTAATATACATTCATGTGAATTGGGAAACCTTTTATTAATAAATATAGAAATCATGTGTCTCCTCCTCTTTCCCCCTTTATCTACCCTGACATAGCCTGTATCTCTATTTAGATTTAGGTCAAATATTATTTTATGGATCCACTTATAGATTTCCTCTCTTCCTTTCCCATGCAACCTGTTCATTTTGACTCAACCCACCCACCCCCACCNCAGGGGTGAATTTAAAATTTTGTACGATCAATCTATAAAATTATGACTATTTTATCCCTGATAATATGATTGTAGTTAGGAGAGGCGGACATGTGTTGTAAAGAGAGGATTTACCGGTATCTGAAAAGTTCCGCAAAATTTTCATGTATACATGTATATATTTTTTTAAAATACTTATATATTAGTGGTGACACTCTATATACAAAATAAAATTTTGCTTGAATACAAAAGTACATGCACCCCGACCTTTAAATTAAGGGTCCGCTTCGTGTAGTTAACAGTACTGAAATTTTTTTTAATATTTATCTGTTTTAAATACACCAATATTCGCTGTGGATAATAAATTGCATCCTCCACAGCTCACTGCTCACATGCACGCGCCCGCACATATGTGCATGTGTGTGTAGATATTGATTCCAACTATTTCTCTTAAGAACTTAATTTTGACACCTCGAACTAAATTTTTTAGAGGAATTAAAGTTGTATAGAGGCTGTTTATGAGTAATTTTCTGAAGAAATTGATCAATATACATGAATGCGTTCTCGTAGTCAAGGTGATGTTATAGAATTAACCAAGTAGATATGAAAGAACGGAGTTTATTCTTTATATATACTGAGAAGACATAACCTAATACTACTTTATTAATCACATTGAAATTAATCAACACAAACTGAGGCTAATGTCTTCAGGTTTTGGTGTCTTACGTGGACGCATAATTTCTGAATTATGAAATTGAGTAAAGACTGCTGATTGTGAAGAATAGTACAATTAGTAATATTTAATCAAGGAACACATAATCTCTCAAATACTCAAATTGGTTACCATTTGTCCAGATTTTATTATAGAGTAGGTTTGGAATATTTGGTTTAACGAAAGATTACATTGTAATTACGTCTTACTTGCTGCTAACTAAGAAAAGACAGGCTCAATGTGGGGTTTAAATTATTATTTACGACTTGTGTCCTGCAAATTGGAACAGAACCTCCAGTAATTTCAACAATTCAAGATATATTCTCAAGAGATCAGGATCTTGAAAGAATATTAATTATAAATATGTTGAAATCGAAAAACCAAAAGGGGCAACTACTTGTCAGAATTTAGAGCAGGTTTGGTGGTTAATTTAACAAACTCTTACATGCAAATACTCGAATCAGTTACTACATGTCCAAACCTTAGTGTTTGCTTGTTCATCATTGCTAAAAATATATATGTTATATATTGTCTACGTTTTAATATTGTCCAGCAAACGTATGCAATTAGGTGGATTCTATCAACAAATAGAAATGTGTTGTTTTTTCCTGTGGCGAGCTGTTTAATTTCTCCAACAAACCCTTCAACAACAACAACAACAATCCAGTATAATCCCACTAGTGGGGTCTGGGGAGGGTAATGTATACGCAGACCTTACCCCTACCCTAGGGTAGAGAGACTGTTTCAGATACACTCTCGGCTCCCTCCCTCTAAGAACTCTCACCTTGCTCTTGGAGTGACTCGAACTCATAATTCAATAACTAATCCTGAATCTTTTGATCTTCTTCTTCTTCTTCATTATGACACTTTGATCATTATTTTTAAATTGGGATTGGCTTTGCTAGCTAGCTATTTCTGGACACGAGAGCAAAAGTGCTTGTGGATAGCACTTTTTTGTTACTATTTTAAGAAATCTCAGCTTATTATATTTTAAGTATTATATGTGTATGGTGTACCAAGAGAGTGACAGTATCAGCCATGCACATAATATTTTTACTCAATAACCATGCAATATACGTAGAGCACATAAGTGTCTCCCCTTTCTTCAATCTTTATCTGCCTCACGTTACATCCCTCTATATTAATTTAAACTAAACATTACTACTATATTTTATTGAAAACCTAAATAGACCAAGACATTATTTTATGGATCAACTAAGATTTGATCTCTTCCTTTCCCGTGCTAGCTGCTTATTTTGACTCACCAACCCCTACTCCCTCTCCCTCCTCCTCTCTCCTGCTTGTATCTAGTGTCTGCACTATGCATGAGTTATTGGTTAGGGTTCAAGTCATGAGAATAGAAAACTTTTTGTAGAAAGCACCATATCTGCTAACATGAATTCAAATTAGCCGGACCAATAAATTTCGGATAGGAACGGTTAAATAAAAAACATGGGAACTTCGAAATGTTTGTCAAGTCATTCGTACACTGGTCTGATATGATTCCACCTCCTTCTCATAGAAAAGCTTTGATATGTATAAGAGTAATTTTGTTCGAAATTTTTTCAATATTTTAAAGGATACTTCTAAATAATTTCCTTACGAACTTCTAATGATCGGCTATTTGTGTAAAGATCCCATATATCTTTGTAGTTCAGATCAATCATGTATATGATTAACCAAGTAGATACGGAAGAATGGAGTTTATTCTTTACACTGACGAAAACTTAACCTAATAACCTACTAATGCTTTATTAATCACGTTACAATAGGCACAATCTTAGGCTAATGTCGCAGATTTTGGTGTCATCAAGGCATTTCCCGATTATAAAACTAAGTCTAGAATGCTGATTTACCAAATAAGTACAATTAGTAATACTTAATTAAGGAAGCCATAATCTCTCACATAATCAAATCTTTAACTACTTGTCCACATTGTAGTTTGTAGAGTAGGTTGAATAATTAATTTAACGAACACTTACATATTATGATATTAATACTTGAATCGATAACTACCTGTCCAAAAGTTAGTGTTTGCTCGTTCACGGTGGCCAGAAATATATGTTGTCCTCGCTCTAAAATTGACCAGCAAACATATCCATTTTAGGACGATTTTACGATCAAATGGAAATGTGTTTTTTTTTTCTTTCTGTGGGAACTATTCAATTTCTCCAACAAATCCTTGAATACATTGTTAACTATAAGCTTCTCTTGTTGAAACTTTTTCTTGTGCATACATTGCTTAGAAATTGGTAGCAGGTTTTCCGGCTATTTTCAGATACGAGACAACAGAAACGCTTGTGGATAGCACTTTTTGTCCCTAATTTTAGAAATATAGGCTTATTATTTAAGCAATATATGTATATGGTGTACCAATTAGAGTTCCAGCATTATTTTAAGCAGAACCATATACTTAATATTTTACTCAATAACCACATAATCCATGCAGAGCACATAATTGGCGAATAATACTATATTGGAATACTCAGAGCTTTGAATTAATTAAAAATTTGTTAAAGGACAACTGGCATTCATGAAAACTCGAGATCTTTCCAACAAATAGGGCCCTCTAAGTGCTTTTACCTGTTCTTACCATTTTATTTATTGGGTATACGTGGAGTTTGGTTGACATTTCTGGAATCGGACGAATTACATTTCAAGAGACTATCAGAAAAATAATATATAAAATGATAAGTAGGATTTTCACCCAAAAGAGCCAATAGTTTGATGACACTCAATGATTGGTATTTGGTAATCCATAATAATTCATTTTCAGGGCGAGCTTTCATTGCAAGAAACACGAACCACAAATTGTGTCTTGTCTCAGATACGTAGAGCACGAAGGACAAAACTGGGTATATTTAATATTGTCACAAGCATAAGTTCTAGTGGGCCACGGTTAAAGTGCAAATAATTTTTTTTAATCATAGTATAAATGCCAAGTATAAGGGATTTGACGGTAAGTCTGCAACAGAATTGTTCAATTTTGGAGGAAAATCGTAGCCTAGAGGTGCACGCCCATGAGTTAGCGGCCTTTACTTCACTAAAGCAGAAAACGAAAAAGCGTTGGAGTTTATTTAGATTAGTTTCTTCGTGAAAGATAAGGCAAAAGACAAGAATGAACAGCTGTTCGTAAAAAAAACATCTGCTTAAGCTAATAATAGATGCGTGATTTCAAGTTTAAGTTGCGTAAGCTGAAAGGTCAATTAAAACAGAATTGCAATGCTTTTGAGTTCAAATCACAATGATTTCCTGACCACTGTTTTCCCAGTTAAAACCTTCCCTATTTCTTTTTTCACTGTATAATAAAAATTGCGCAGAGAAAATCCAGTTGCCATGACCCCAACGAATTGATGTAGAAGAGATAGGAAACTATTAAGAGTGATGATTTATTAGAAAACTAGAAAGCATGTGGCTTAGAATTTATATGAATCAAGTGCAAAAACAGTGACTCCATACGATTGCATGGACAGATAACAATGCAGTCTGTTTCAATCACCAAGTTGTTTGAATTACAACAATAAGCGTGTAACGTTTCCTTGTGTTGCAACAGCTTCCGATGAAAGAATTAATGATAATGCACTTCGGCAGTGTTACCTATTCAGTGTGAAGTAATAATGAATCATTCTTTATGAAGATTCACTACTTGAAGGATTTTATGTTGAAGTGAGCCACTTGAGGCCCAAAGAATGCAAGTATGCTAATAAACAAAGTCAATATACTGACAATGATTAATACTTGGGTATAATTTGTCACAAGAATGCCCAGTGCAATCAATCAATTTGATGGATCGGAAGAGATTAGTCAGACCATCTCGCTATGTCAGCTATGAATGACAAGAATGCTGAATTCCATCAAATAATTGGTGAGTTGGAGGAGATCAATCCAAGTATCTCGTTATGTAAGCTACAATTACTCACGAGAAAACCACCAGAAGGAAATATAGTTCTCCGCTCAATTTGATCTGCTGCAAAATCAATTGAACTTCCTTCCCAGTCAGTCACCTGAAAAGATTTTGCACCCATTGAATAACTAGGAAACACAGCAAGTCGGACCCGTTTATTTTAATAAAATAAAGATATGCAAAACAAGATTCATGTTAATTGATGTACAGTCCCACATTTTCCCTCAAGTTGAAGGAAAAAGAAAACAGTTAAAGCCTTAACATCAAGCAAAGAAATCAAAGCGCACAAAACTTTCCCTTGCTTTACATCCTATTTTGCCAAATGAACAAGGTTGCAAGCAGGCTACATCTGAAAGTTGTACACACACACGGGAAATTTCTATGCTAGTGCATGGAGGTCACACAAGGAACGATATAATAGAAGAGAAATGATAGTTCATGCATTTATTGTCTCTGATTAACAAAAGAGAGTTTTCATCAGGTAGCACGTATTCATTATCATATCAAAGAAAAAGATTCCTAATAAATATGAAGACCCTTCCTTTTGCTGTTATCTACTTGCAGTTCATAGATATATCGTCATTCATGCTTCTTTTTAACTTAATAGATGTATTTCGTGTCTATCAAAGATGGAATTAATTATCTAAGAAGAACTAATGATAAATGACACTCAATTATTCTTCAAACTCTGTTTTCTTTTTAGGCAAACTGCAGGAATTATGCTTTATGGTATGAAAGATTTCACCTCCCAACCATTTCTCAAGTTTTCAAATATATCCACTAGACCTTGATCATGAACCTGCATTAGACAGTAGCCAAAAGAAAAGGAAGATGATATGCAAAGTTAAAGGTACTTGTCATCCTAGTAGATTTTATGTAGGTTTACTAAATATTACACCACGTCACCACCTGTTCTGTTTTTCTCCCAAGAAGGCAAGAACTGGTAATAAATGGAAATTGCTAGCACACAACTTAAAATGAATGCGTATGCAGAACGGAATACCAACAGAGAGATGCATCGACCACAGAAAGGAATACCAATAGAGAGATGCATACCATTCCCCCAGCTTCATGAACACATATGATTCCAACAGCATGGTCCCAAGCAGGGGCATAGCCATAGATTTTCTACAGTGGAGTCATATGTTCATATCAGAATGCTGAACACCCAAAAGAAAGCATATGCTAATTCAAGGATCTAGTGGCATCAATTGATGATGGTTGAGTAAATCCAGTCAACTTAAAGTAACCAACAAACGAAGAGAGTAACAACTTCCAGAGAAATATTTTAACTGTCCATGAATTATTTTCCAATAATTGCAGTATATTGTTGTTCTATGTGACAGGGCAAATGCATTTTTATCATTCTGTGTTTCAATCTAAAACAAAACAATACACGAAAATAAATTGCTTGTTATGCAGTTGTAATGGGAACCTCAAAAGGCTCGTTTCTCCAAATAATATTAGACCAGGGACTATAACCCAAATAAGTATGTCTTTCTAGTAATCTCAAGAAAGTTTGCAATATCCTATTTTCCTCGTATTCTAGGAAATGTACCAACAACTACTACACCTCAATCGCAAGCTAGTTAGGGTCGGCAATATGAATCCTCATTTTTCATGTCGTTCCATATGACCAGTCTCAATCCACTATTTAGAAAATTAGTTTCTCTAGTACACGTATTTTTTTCCTATTAGTGTACAAATCTCTTATAAGACTAAAAGACTCCTAGCTAACATTGGACCTAAAGTAAACATACGATTTAACTCTTTTACTGTTTATAGAAAATTAATCAGGGTGAAATCCGTGCTAGCCCAGAATGCACACCATAAACATAATGATTAACTACAGAGCCTTTGAGGTTGCTGTTATTTGACCCCACTCAATAATAAGTGGCTCCACTTATGGGTCCCAGGCCTACATAATATATTTGCACTTATGGGTCCCAGAATGCACACCATAAACATAATGATTAACTATAGAGCCTTTGAGGTTGCTGTTATTTGACCCCACTCACTTGACTGCAGTTATCTACTATGTGTGAGATTAAAAATCACCTTCATAACTGTTCTGGTTGTTGCACGGAGAATAAAAACAGATGCTCTACCTGAAGCCACCATCATATATTTGCACAAACTGCAGAGCAGAAAAAGATTGCATTAAAGGAATGTGCCAAACCATCAAAGAAATTTGAGAAAGTAATCAATTTTTTTATCAAGAGAGTCGAAGGAAAATGTGATAAGTTCACAATTCAGCTATTCATCCTATAAGGAAGTCTAAGTTAGAGTATCACTAGAAAAACATACAGAATGCGACCGTTGTGATTCTGTCCTAAGGTAATGTAAAATACTGAACCTCAATCTCTAATGGATGTGATTCATGAGCCTCTGTCAAAAATGAATTAAATGATGGTAACTCAGTAGCCATCCAAAATTCCAGATACACCTAATACCAACATATTGCTAAGAAACAAGTTTCCTTCAGAGAAAGAGGGTGGTGGTGTTCGGTGGTGCTTTGACAAGACTAATCAAACAGATTAATAACAAATATAATCATTTCATATGGGTGACAGCAGCAAAAGTAGTGTGTGGTCATACAGGTCAAATTATTTCAGATATGGACCGACATTGAAGAATAGCAGACACCAAAATATCACATTGTTCAGTCAGAAATTGTCAAAAGGTTGGGGATTGCGCCCCCAGAACATTATTCTAAAGTAAACATGAGCTTATAGCATGAGGGACCATTGTACACAATGAAACTAGTATCTAAAGATACCTACTGCACTAATACCTACAGTTGTAGCAATTTCGGTGGAGAAAGAAAGCTCAACACTTACTGGCACAAATAAGAAATCCTGAAACAGGAAAAAGTGGTTTTTTATAAGTTCCTGAAACCGAAAACACAAAGATCAAAGGATAAAATCAGGCCCCGAGGTAGTGGACAATATTTGTCCAGATGTTTCCCTTCCCGTCTTTGATGATCAATCAACTCCTCGTACAAAAGCACAACCGTTAAGATATTCTCTGTGTTTAGGCATAAGATCCGTAATAATAGAGGTGCTGTAATATGCTCAGATTATATCAGCTTAAATCCTATAAAAAAACACAAGTATGTTTCCAACATGTGAAGGATATGCCAGCCACATGTAAAAGCAGTTTTATCACACGTTGCCCTGTTTAAGTGTGCTTGTGACCAGTATTCCAATATAGATGCTTTAAAAGGATCACTCGACAATATAAATTTTCTTCCTCAGCTCCTCATTTATCTAACCCTAGTTTCCAAATAAGTTTTAGTATCAGAATTTTTATTTAATTGTCAACTTCAATTTCAAAATGCATCCACGAAATCGGGCCCATCTAGTTTGAAAAGTTTACATAAATGCCAATTGTAAGCAAGAGAGAATTGCTCATGACACATCAAAGCAACAACTCTGGCTAAAATAATGTTTACGAATAATCTTTGACAAGAAGACATCACCTTCCACAGCATGCAGGCACAAGAAGGATGTCCCCTTTCTCTATTTTTTCGGAGTTTGTTTTTGCATTAAATGAGGATGATAGAGGCAAAGATTCCCATTTTTGACTCTCTGGAGTACAAAAACGTGCCTCCTTAAGTACTTGGCACCCATCGACATAGCATCTTGTCCAACTTTGAGGCAACTTGATGGTTAACATGTCTGACAACCTTTGTTTCCATGTTCCACAACCCAAATGAGAAACCATGATCATCCCTGATCTGGAGAAATTGCTTCCAGTTTCTTGGACCCCGGTGGCACGATTAACAAAATAGTCTTCATCCCAGTTAGGGCACCCCATAACTCCTAAGACAATCTGTCCTTCAACCACAAGAGCCAAAGCCACCTGACAACAAAGCTTAGCCAAATAAGTTGAAGAAACAGTAAGGGGTATAATCTCAATTCAAACAACTGACAAATCCCAGAAGAACATGCAATAATTGAAAGCTATGTAATCGTGTATATAATCTAGGACTCTTTAGTTACAAAGACTTCTTGTTTGGAGAAACATTAATTACCTTAACCTGAAACATCGCGCTATCAGAGAAAGCAGAATTAAACCAAAGAGGATGAGGGGATACCAAAAGGAAAAGTCTGATGTGAATGAGACTTAAGATTAACAGTACCACACTTTCTAGTGTTATTCCAAAATAAAGGTTTTTCCCGTGTAACATCATTCCCCAGTCCTTTTTGGATTGATCTGAATTCTTGCCAGTTTGATGGGTAGAAGAGAACTTACTGAAAGAGATGGAACTAATAGCACCCACCCTATAGAGTATTTGATTGAAAATTAGTAGGCTGCTGGTAATAGATGAACTACAAGCGAAATACATCAAAACCTTATAGTGAATAGGATAGTACTAGTAGATAATCTGCATCTTTCAGGATTTTTCCCTCTCAAGTGAAAAGTCACCTATTATGTGTCTACAACAAACAAGGAAATATCATGATGAACCGCTATTAATAAGAACATAAGACACTTCTTTATTTTTTACTTCACCAAAATCTCCCACAAGATTAGATGCCAAATCGATTAACCTATTCTTCTCTTTTTCTGCACACATCATATTTTGCAGGGTTACAAGATTAAGGGCATGTTGTATCACTAATGTGAAATTGCCAACCAAAGACCAACTTGAAAATCTGTACACCTCATAACTTTGAGGATCACTGTAACAGCTGCTATCTGAATTAACATTTGCGCTTCATAATACATAGGTTCCACACGATTAAAATCACTTTTCCCATCCATGTTATTATTGCATTTTCTACTGATGCTTCCATATTATCACCAGCAATATCATCTATTTCGCATGGAAAGGTGATAGCTCAAATTCTCATCATTATATTATCATCCTCAAGAAAGCTTGACCAAATCAAGGTTTCTGCTGCAATAAATCTGAACTTAACTGACTATAGAGCAAAGCCAGTTGGAGTGATTATACAAGTATAAGGAGCAGATTTCCTGACCCACTAACAGCTGAAGGATAGTATTGGTGCTCCACGAGGGATTGAGGAAGATGCATAAAGCTGTTAATATTTAAACAATACTGCTAATTCCTTGAAAGTTCATTGGATCTAAGTGGCTTACTCAGAAAATCGTGTCTCTCAACCTCAGCAAGACAAGAAATAATGGCCAATGAGCACAATGGGTAAAGGGAAGAGACTGATTTGGAGATAATCCCACGCGACTATTACCTGGCTACCTTTAGCCATTGCCATGGAAAACAACCTCACATGTTAAGCTGTTCTCTTCATTGAAATTCCTCTCCTCCTTGTTTTTATGTTGGTTGGGAAGTAAAAAGAACATATTAAAGACGCTAAAGAAAGAATAGTAAGAGAAAAATAGAGATTAAGGACATACCACATAGAGAGCTTCAACACCTTTAACAAACCCTCGTGTCCCATCAATGGGATCTAGTACCTGTACCAGGTCCATGAAATTTTACAAAATAGTCCACAACCTCGTGATAGTAAAATGCAATCACAAATTCAGGTTCTGTTACATTTCATTAGTACGGAAGTAAGATGTCAAATTTCTTCTTAAGCATACAAAAATCATCCAGAGTATAGACGCCATCAGACTAGAAAAAGCACTTTCCACATCAAATTAATTGAACTATAAGCCCTTAATATCTTAGTGTACGAATATTAGCAAAGAACTGTTGCCATTTGTGCATGGAAATACAGGACATTATCTGGTATCTGAGAATTAAAAGGAGGCAGTATATATCACGAAATAGGGACTATCAAAGGCCATGTAAATCTTCTGCCTCCTTCCTCTGGACAGCATGATAGTTGTTTATTGGGACAGTGCGATACTTGTTTTTCCTTGTCATAGAAGCAAAAGTATATCTATTTCCCTTTCAATGACTTCTCAAATATTAAAAAGATACCACCAACTAAATGTACATGTCAGAAAAACAAAATGAAAAGGTGTATCCCCCAAAGTGGAATTAGAAAATCTGTTGTTCCCTTTCCCAGGAATTCCCCCCTTAATGTAAAGGTTTCAGAGAGATGAAGATTTTATCCGTGAAAGTTAGTGAATACTGCTCTAAAGTCGATCTCAACTTACCCAGTATGTGGCTTGCTTTGGCCCAAAAGTACAGGCATCCTTTCCCCCTCTGTCAATTGCTTTCAAGACACTATCTTCTGTTACTTCGTCTCTGAGAGTTGCTTTATTCACAACCACATCAACCACTGATCCGACTAGATTAGTTGACCGCAAGAATGATGAATCCTCTTCAGCCACCAAAGGAATGGAAGGGAAGAGTCTGTTCATCTCTATCAGAATAGGATGTGATAGAGTAAGAGAAACAATTCAGCTCTGTTCCAAGAGAATAAAGAAAGAGTCAGAAGGGAAAGAAGACAGTGTCCATCATGTCTGATCATTCTTAAACAATTTGATAGCTGATTAGGTACATTTTCATGTAACAAGAAAAATGCATGTAATGGGTACTTATTGCTTTGGCTCAAAGTAAAGTGTTCATGTCTTCCTCAATAGATTATTGGCGGTTGCTTTGGATGTTATAGCAGAATTTAGACAATTAGAGGGAGGTTCCATTACAGTATCAATCTAGCATACAACCTTATTTACTCTATGAAGCAGAAAGCAACTTGAAGAACATGTAAATAGGTGGACGAACATTCTTAATAGAGGAAAAGCATGTGGCAAGACAAATTAAACCTCCAACATGCTTGTTTTTTCCGCTTCCCAATTTTATAAAGTATTGTTGGAAACTGCAACACTTTCAATTCAATAATCAAGGAAAAACTGAAGAAGGTTTCAAGAAAAGCAAAATGAATTACCCAAGCTAACCAAAGCCTGCACGCCGAAATCTGCAATAGTGACTGGGGTTTGGTCATTTTTCTCAAGAATCCTATCATCATTGGAGAACAATGAGCTCTTCACCTACAACCATAAAAATTAAAAATAAAAAACAGAACTTTTAATTGATAAAATGATAACATCACTTGACAGACTACTAATCCCCAGATTTTTTCGTTTAAGCTATTTTTGGAGCTCAAAAGCATACAATAAAATTTCACCAGAACTAAATGACTGATGTTATCTCGTTAGGGAAAAGCTAACAGCTTTTTTGTCCAAGATCTATAATCTTTTACATTGAGTACACCGTAAATATGTCACGTACCAAAATTGCAAGTACTAGATCAAAACTTAAATATGTAGAATAGCACAGAGGAAGTTCATAATTTCAGATGCAATAAGCATTAACAGTCTTTCGACATACGTGTTCAAATGCAATTACAATAACATTAGCACGAAATATTCTGGCATTTGAAACGGAAACTAGTGTTTTGCTGAAAACAAACTAAAATTGACTAGCAGCAGCATTTCAATCCAATTAACCAAATGCACCTCAAGATAAGTAGTTAACTCAATCAGTTAATCAACCAATCAAACAACTAAAGGACTTAGTCCCAAGCTAGTTAAAGTCAACTGATGAATGTTCTATAACCAAATTTCGAGACTAATGTCACGTCCTTAGTCGTTAACTAAGTACACGTGCGGCACTTGACAATTTGCTCACGTTCTTGCTATGCCAAGTCAGCCTTACTACACTCAAGATCGCTAAGAGAATGGTAGAAAGAACACAAGAGAATTGTTAAAGGAAGCTTTGTATTAGAGAGAACTTGAATTGTTTGCTTGATGAATTACAAATGAATGACCTCCTTTATATACTAGTCTCCTAGGGGCTAGTGTGCAAATATTAATTGTTACACAAGTCCTTAATATTTACAAGATAAGGGCTTTCTCTAGAATTCTCTACAAGCCTAGAAGATTCCAAGGACTTTCCTAGCAAATCCATAAACATCTAGGATCTTCCAAAGGAAATGTCCATACTTCTCTAGAATCTTCTCACAAATGCAAGCATTCCTCCTATGTAAGCTTCCACATGGCATTAATATATGCCAAATGGCGCTTATGTGGCATGATGACATGGCGAGTCATCACACTCTCCCCCACCTAATGTTGCGACGACCGCGGCGCAATGTTGCTGCATAAACTCTCGGATCTTATCTTTGAATTGCCATAAATCTTCATAACGTTCCCATGTGGCCTCCTCCGGTGATTGCCCCTTCCAATGGACGAGGAACATTGCGGTGGCTTTTTGCCCTTGTTTTCGCCTGGCCTAGTAATCAATAATAGCCTCAATCTCCCGGTCGTGCGAGGCGGTAATAGTAATAGGCGCTCGACTTGATTGGCCCCTACTTGGATCATCCTTGTCTTCATAATATGGCTTAAGCATGCTGGCATGGAAGACAAGATAGATCTTAAGATATGATGGCATGTCAAGCTTGTATGAGATCTTGCCTACCTTGGCGACTATCTTAAATGGCCCCTCATACTTGCGAATCAGATTCTGATGCATGCCCCGTAGTGCCTTAAACTGTCTTGGATTAAACTTCACCATGACCATGTCCCCAACTCTATAGTCCGTGGGACGCCGCTTACGATCTGCAAACTTCTTCATCTTCTTAGCTGCCTTATCCAAGTAGGACTTAGCAGTGTCAAACTGCTCCTCCCATCCTTTGGCCATATGAAAAGCCCCCAAACTCTTTCCCTCGAACGCGGCTGGTAATGAATGTGGAGTTTGTGGCTGTTGGCCTCTGGCTAGCTCAAATGGTGTCCGCCCCGTGGACTCACTCCGCTGCAAGTTATAAGAGAATTGGGCGATGTCTAGGAGCCTTGACCAATCTTTCTGATGTGCGCTTACATAATGCCTCAAGTAGCATTCTAGTAAGGCATTGACCCGTTCCGTTTGTCCATCTGTCTGTGGGTGGAAACTAGTGGAAAAGTGCAGTTCCGTGCCAAGTATGTCGAATAATTCTCTCCAAAAGTTTTCAGTAAAACGGGGGTCTCGATCACTAATAATATGCCTTGGTAAGCCCCAATACTTCACCACATTCTTAAAGAATAGCTTGGCGGCTTCCTTGGCAGTGCAACCTGGCGTGGCGGGCATGAAGGTGGCATATTTGGAAAATCTATTCACGACCACCATAATAGTACCATAACCGTCAGACTTCGGTAGGCAAGTGATAAAGTCCATAGTCACGCTCTCCCATGGACGCTCTGTAACTGGTAGTGGTTCCAAAAGTCTTCCGGATTTTTGTTGCTCAACCTTGTCCTGTTGACAGACAAGACAAGTCTGCACATAACACTCTATGTCANTAGATAGGGATGGAAAATCTTATTCGTAAGGGTGCAAAATGTGGCAGGTGCATTGGTTAAGCCGAAAGGCATCACCAACCACTCAAAGGCTCCATATCTCGTCGCACATGTTGTCTTTGGCTCATCCCCCTCTGCAATGCGAACCTGGTAGTAGCCCTTGCGAACATCCACCTTGGTAAAATACTTGGCTTGCCCAAGTCTATCGAATAAGTCAGCAATGAGCGGGAT